CTCTCTCTCTCTCTCTCTCTGTGTGTGTGCGTGTGTGTGTGTGTTTCTTGTTTCTCTTCATTTGTCTTGTTTTTCCCGCTTAGAATGACCGTTTAGTGATTGTTACATTATTAATATTATGTATTTCATTAGTTCACACACATAACAATCGACAACCCAATATGGACCAAATTACTTTTTCTACGCCTGAGAATTTTTTAAGCTGGATTATGATTAGGGTCAATAGTGAAGTACAAGTCACTGCTGATTTTAATGTTAAGCTATGTAGGTTTTTCTATCGTGGACCGTTGGAGAAAATTTGAAAACTGTTAGTTAGAAGAATAACGACGGCTCAAATAGTTTATTCATCATCTCATACAAAACACCGAGCAAATGAAATATTCCTTTTATATTGATAATTTGAACACAAACGTAGCAAAATCTAACAATACTTAAAAACTTAACACATGTGAAGGGGGCTGACAAAATGGGTTACTTCTCGGATTCATCAAGCCAAATGGAAATGAGATACATTACTCATGTAGGTGAAGGTTTTACAATTTATAAGTACGAAATAATAAAAGACAGGATATACTTAAATAATATGGCATCAATAGAAAACCTATCAACTTGACCCTAATGTCGATTTTTGGCCAATATCTCCATTACAATTTGCGGATTGCCAGAAGTAACTCATTTTGTCAGCACGTCTCACATATGGCTGTTGTTGTCCTTGTTTTGATTATGTGGTGTTGACGGTGTCCATGGCTGTGGTGGTTTAGGAAATGGTGATGTCGTTGCTGCGATTAATTGCTATTGTTGTCATTGTCGGCTCTGTTGATCCAGTGATACACTAGCGTCCGCCTTTGATCCACTGCCATGAATTGGCAGCTTTTCTTCCATTGTTGTCTAGTTTCATGCTCATTAACTGGTTCCGGTCTTAGGTGGAAAAGGATAGATGTGGTGTCAGTTCATACTGGGAGGACAAAGTGAGGATCTACTGGTTTAAATGAAGGGTCACATAACAGGCTCATTGAAAAACTAATTGTATATCATTGTGTTTCCGTGAACTTAAAATTGTAGCGTGTCCTTTTCTAAAGAGGTTGTCAATGATTCGTTGACCATGTCGCTTTGTAAGGTAGGGATTATGTAAAACGACAAGAACTTGTCGGAAACTAAATTGAAATGCCGCCAGGTTCGGAAGTCGTGAACAAAAGTAAACATTCACATTGGATGAAACAAATAAACAATATCCAGAAAGCAGTCTTTGTTTCTGTGAACAAAACTGAGACATTTTTAACAAACGCATGTGCCTATCAGCAGAAATATAATATTGTCGAAGGAAAGGGGCAAGTACACTGACTTCGTTTAAAGAATAAACGCCACGAAAATCATGATTTAAAAAAAAAAGAATACTTGGGATACCCTTCACAGTCCACAGCTTGAAAGGAGCAGTCAAAACTAAGACGAACCAAAACATCAGCAGCAATGACCTGCGTCCGATGTAGAGCCATGCAACAAAAGCTCTAATGTTTCAGCCAGATGACCAGACTCAGATCACAGGGAACAACCGCCATCTCACGATGTACTACAGCAGACGCACGACGACTTATTCAGCTTTACAAACATTTCCAAAAAAATATTGGTGTTTTTAAGCCCCCATCGACAAAATTTAGATTATTCAGGAGGCGTGCTTTCGACTGTCTTTCAGGGCCAGCCCGGGCTGAGATGGATGTAACATCCCAGCAGAAAACAGAGATATTCGATAAAAAATATTCTCCTAACTCGATAGTTGAACACAGGTCTCCTGCGTGCGCCAGCGAAGCGCTTAACCACCACACCATGGACGCTGGTCTTTACAGATAGCTAGACAGAAGACATGATACATACGGAGACAAAATGCCACCCACCTCTGCACCACAGATAAAGTGGTGCGGGGGTTTCACCTTATCACGCCGGTTACAGATGGGCTGTAGCGCCCTCTGCCGATGGGACTGTGATTACAGCTGACACCATCTCTCTTTCCTTACCCCCTCCCCCCCCTCCCAGCAAGCTCAGTGTGTCCTCACATGTGACCAATGGCTCTCTGTGTCAATATCTGCATATCAAAGTGATAGTGATATACGAACAAAAATTCATAGCCAATTTACAATTCACGTATACGTTTAGAACCAAAAATTTTTAATGGAACCATTGCCTGAGGCTAAAGTGTCTAGACTTCATTTTAAATATAATCGAAGAGGAGAACAGACCAACATGTATCTTAACCAGAAAAGCAAATCACAGATGATTAATAGTGTCTAGGTAAAGTCTAAACATAACTTGAAGGCTATTAAAGAACATAGATGATTTATGGCATACATAATGCTGACATTATCTGTGTTCAACCTTGCTAAATATAAGTCGTTATGACAGTCGGTATACACTGTAGAAAAGTTGCTAAATAAGCCATATACCTCGGCCAAAAAAGTCCCTCACTCCCACGCAAAGAACCACAATCAGATACAGGTACAGTAAGCGTCGGTCCAAAAGTAGCCTGATTCTTGAAAGATTTATCTATTGGACGCAGAAAAAAGAATCAGACCACTCTGCTTTTTTACTTTCAGAACGAAAGCTTTACTTCTAACTTCTAACCTCTGAGGGGGGTGTTGTTTGCACAGAAGCAGACTCTGTTGCACATCATAGGCGTTTGTAATATAGACTTAAATTATAATAATTTCCTAGAATGTGCACTGTCATGGCCACCGTTCTTTGCTCTCTATAAAAATTTGCTACGTTGGTGGGCACCACGGGCACCCAAATGAAGGGAAAAACACACAAGTCTCGCTTGGGTTGAATGCGCTGGCAACTCTGCCGTCTTATGACACAAAAGAACGTATATGCGTAATTAGATCAAGTAGCGTTTTTATACATGAGAGAAACCACTTTTCACGGCGCGCCTTTCTATCTTAGTTTTTTTCAGCTATACAATTATTAAAATCAAGGAAGTTTGGGAATTTTGAAAATATGTGTTGTGACCTAATTACATATCGATATTGTTATGACAAAAAAAATTAATCAATTGTTCCATTACTATTTACTGTGTACCTCAGCAAATCAGACAAGGGTTACACCGGGCAGTGAATATTGACATAAAATAATCATATCAACCAAATTTTAGTTAATTTTAAACACACACACACACACACA